ATGCAGACGCATCTCATCCCAAGCCTCAGCGCGGCGCGGAGCCAGGCTCCCGATGCAGAGACGCTCCGCACGGCGACCGCCGCCTGCCTTCGATGTTGCATTTCTTGTTCGCGACGTCGGATCTCGGGGGAACCCGCAGAGGGCACCTGTGCATGACTCAGGCTATCGCAAACATGGCTCAAGGGTGGCGTGGATTAGCGACGGGTCCCGTTTCCATGGGTCATCGCGGACTTCCGCCGCCGAGCGAGGCGAGGGAGGGCATGTCCCCCGATCCATTGATTTGGCGACCGCGCGCCAAAACCATGGATCGCTAACCCATGTTTGCGCGCCCCCGAATCATCCCCGTGCCTGGCCAGGGCCTCCCTGGCGCCCCGCCTGGGGCGGCGCACGGCCCCTCCTGGTCTTGCCGCGGGGGCGTCTGCGCCACACACGAGGGCGTCTGCGGCGAGGCCGCTTCGGATCTCCACGAGCGCGTTACCTTCAAGAAACCCAACCCTGAGGCTCCACGACGTCCATGGATTTTTGGTGCGGGAACGTCGCGCTCTCCGTCGCAAAACCATCGACACCCAAGAAGCCCAGGGCACCCTGGAGGCAAGCAGGGTGTTTCGTGGCATGGGTCTCCACTGTGAGCTGCGTGCGGCCTGCTGGTCTCGGTCGGTGTCGGTCTCAGTGGCCGCTCCGGTCGGCCTGTTGCGCCGTCGCCGTGGACGGGTTTGATCCGGGGGGCCTAAGATCAGGATAGATCTCTCCTGCGCGTTCCGGAGTGCTCTCGGGACGTTCCAGGGCGCTCTGAGGCGATCGCGGCGCCCGATACGTCTTCCAGACCTGCCAGCTCTCAGAGAGTCCTGCCGTGTCCTCACCTGGAGTTGTCCTCACCCTGCCTTCGTCCTGCTTGGTGCGGGGGCCCAGGACGGCCCTTGCCGTGCACGGGTGCCCTCTGCACAGTCAGGTCTGGGTCGACGTGCCGCATGCCTTTTCGACGCGGCGGCGGCGGCACTTCCGCCATGCCGCTCCCTGCGCTGCGCGCGCGCGCGCCCCCCAGTCGCCCCCTTGGCATCGCTCGGACGCGTACATTTTTCCTCGGCGAGGTCCATCGAAGAGCATCCTGGATCATTCAGTCGAGACAGCACGTGCGAAATCGAATAGCGCACGGGGATCGGACGTCCGAGCGATGGCGAGCCCCCGCTTCCCTGACGTCGTCGCCCCAAGGGAGGACAACAAGAAGCACCGCGACCCCCACACTCGGCGTCTGCTAAACAGCCCTGGGCACTTCCGCAATCGGCCCCGCTTCCCTGACGTCGTCGCCCAAGGGAGGAACAAACACCCCGATCCCCATACTTTTGGCGTTTGCCAAGCGGCCCTTGGCGTGTACTGAACAGCCCTGCTGCCCTGTTCGATCCCTTCCCTGTGTGCGTCTGTGGAGCGGCCTTGCTTGTATGGGCCGGATGTTGCTAGAAGAGCCCCTGGCCCGAGGGGGCCCCAGGGTTCTCGGGGTGTGGCCAAGACGACAGCCCTCACGAGGCCCAGAGGGCCCCAGGGGCTCCAGCATGGAGCGAAAAAAACTGGGGGGCGCCTGGGGCCATGGGCACTCCTGGCAGCACCCGAATAGGGGTGCTTCTTGCGAGGGCTTCTGCCTGTGCTCTCTGTTCGCGTCGTGGAGGTTCATGACGACGGGAAGGCGGGACAGGGAAGGCGAGGGCGGGACAGGGAAGGCGAGGAGGCCTTCGCCCCCTCCTGTGGCCACCGAGGCTCGAGCCTCGGGGGCCCAGGCTCGAGGCTCCACCGAGGCCCGCTGCGGGCCCCAGGATCCACAGCGGCAAGCCCACGGCGCGAGACAGACAACTTCACAGGAGGAACTCCTCCTCCTCCTCCTCCTCCTCCTCCTCCTCCTCCTCCTCCTCCTCCTCCTCCTAGAGGTACCCATGCCGCTACCCTCCGCGCGTTTTCCTCTTTTTGGGCCTCATGGGAGGCCCTCGTCGCCGCCGCTGGATTCGTCTCGGAATCCTGGTCAGAACGCACCTTGGGAGAGGTCCGGGGAGTAACAGTAGCTTACGTGCATTTTTTCACCACCGCTACCATAATGTAGGACGGTGGAAAGGGGAGGATGAGGAGGTCCTCCGCCTCCTCCTCCTCCTCCTCTTCCTCCTCCTCCTCCTCCACGTCCTTCCTCTCCTTCATTTTGGCTCAAGCCATTTTGTCTCAAGGGACACTCCTGGAGCAAACTATTTAGCTCCAGGAGCGCTTACACAGCTTACACAGCTTACACAGCCAGCTCACACAGCCAGCTTGCTCAGCCAGCTTACACCTACGAACAACTTTTGACAAGAGTCCGGTGGCATCCGTGCGCCAAGCGGAACGCTCAGGTGCAACACCCGAGCGCAAAGGGCGCGAAAAAGAACCCCGACGAACAGATGGCGGCCTTCGAAAACATCTCGAGCGACGATGACGAGACCGAGGAGACGACGATCGTCGACACTGGAGCACCAGAGTGGTTCCATATGTTCGAGAAGAGACAGGACAATATATTCGAGAAGCTCTCCAAGACATGACTAAACTCAGGGGATGATCCGTCATACGAGGAAGGACATGGAGGATATGGCGATTGACGTGACGAGCGTACAAGACAATATGGAGGATCTTGATGTGGAGGTGACGAGCCAGAGCGGACCTCGACGAACTGTACATGACGAACACGGAGATGAAGGAGAAGATCGAGACGATGGTCGGGGAGGGTATCGACAAAGCTCCGAAGGACACAGAGGGCCATGCACATTCTCACCACCAGCCACAAGATGAGCTGGACCTGCAAGTCATCGTGAGGGGCCTGACGGAGGAGGAAGAGGAGAACCACATCATCGAACATATCAGGCATGTCTTGCAAGAGCACGGGGTGAAGGATAGGATCACGAGCATTTCCACCTTCTTCGACCCAGCAAAAACCAGATATTATAGCAATTTGCAATCGATCCAGGTAAACGGGGCTTCCTAAAGAAGATGAAGGGAACATGAACTACTTGGAAGTGTGGGGAAACATGTGGTTCCCCAACAATAGTACGATCGAACACGGAGCCATCGACAAAACCTTGGGCCTGATCAAACATCACCTGATGGAGAAGGGTTTTGAAAAGACGTCGATCGGGATATTCTGGGACACAGGAATCATCAAAATCAAAGGTGTGAAGGTTGTTGAGGCGAAGGTGGACGGCAGCTTCGAAACGTACGCGGACGGAGACCAGGTCAAGCCGGACGTGGTGACGTTCATGGAGCAGTGGCGGAACAAACGCGACGCCATGTGACGTCTCAGCCAAATCCGAAGTCGATGTTCCTGTCCGAAGCCAAATCCCCAGACCCACCATGCTGCTGATCGACTTTTTAAATTGTTCTGGGACACCTGGAGCTTCTAAAATCAATTGACTTTTTCGACCGCCTGTCAGGACGCATTCGGGTCCTTAACACAAGAGTCTGATAACGTTTATTCGCAGGAAGGCGTTCCTCTCCGACCACAGCGTGGCCATGCTCATGAACGACAGCTCCGAAGATCATGGCCGGGCGAACCTTGCGCCGGCCAGCGGGCCAGCACCGACCAGCAGCGACCTCCACTGACAAACGCCGACCAGAGACCAACGGACCAGCCCGAATATCGACCACCAGACCGACCACCATTCTCCAGCAACGCCAACCAACAGCGACCACCACAGACTACCAGCAGCGACCTCCACAGACAACCAGCGCCTACCAGCGACCAGCCGACCACCCCAATCACCGACCACCACCAACGACGATCATACCAACCAGCATTGATCAGCAGCGACCTCGGCAGACAGCCGGCACCAACCAACGGCCAGCACACTAGCCCAACCAGCGACCGGCAATCCCGACCACGACCAACGCCGACCAACAAGACCTCCGCGGACCATCAGCAGCGACGTGCACGAACAGCCAGACCGACCGCCGACCAGCATCAACAACCAACCCAGACACCGACCTCCACATCCCACGCCCGGCCACCAAAACTGATCAACAACGACCTCCGCAGACCAACAACGCCGACCAGAGACAATTCGACCAACCCAAACACGGACCACTCGACCGACCACCGACAATTCTCATCAACCAGCAACGACTACCACTGACCACCAGCAGCGACCTCCATTGACCACCGGCGCCGACCAGTGACCAGCCGACCAGCCCAGCCACCGACCACCAGCTCCGACTACCAGACCGATCAAGACTGACCAACAGTGACTTCCAGAGACAACCAGTTCCGACCAGCGATCAACCAAACAACGCAACATCCCACCACCAACCTCCGCCGCCAGACCGACCTACGCCGACCAGCAGCGACCCCCGCTGGTCACCCACAGCGGCGTCCTGACCCATACAGACTGACCAGCACCGACCAGCAACGCCAACCACGCCAAACACCGACCCCCGCACACAACCACCAGCACCCACGGGAGGAGGAGGACGAGGAGAGTACAACATTGTAGAAGGCGACTTCCCTCTCGCATCGTGGTGATTTCTGCCATCGTTCCATGAACTTGGCGGACGCGTCGACGCAGACGACGACTCTCACACTTGCCTTGCCCAGCCCCTCCTTCTGACCCGCTCCTCCCAGAGCGAACGGACCAACGGCCTGCGCGAGGCACTTCGCAACGAGTCTGACGTCTTTGTTCCCGCAGCTCAAAGGCGTCGACACACGGGCAGTAAGACCGACTGGGAACTCCCGTCAACAGGCGCGCCTCGGACAACGATGCACCGTCCTCGATTTGTAGGCGCCCGTGGATATGGCGACAGAAATTTCACAAATCAGCGGTTGCGGCATTGGGCCGCAACCGAGAGGCTCGCGATCGCGAGCGCGTTCTGCCGCGTACCGCCAGATCAGCATGTCACTTGCGCCGCGACCATGGGAAGGCCGCGACAGCGCGATTATATATTGGCGGGTCGAAGCTGGGTCCTCTGTGCCTCGACGCCGAAGCTTCGAAAGTCGCTGATCTCAACTCGGACCGCGAAGCCGCCGCGCTCCGCATTCGCCCCCCCCCCCCCCCCCCCCCCCCCCGCGAGCAGCATCGAACGCCGGGCGCTCTTCGAGGAGCATTTGTTCAAGCGCCGCTTCCCGCGGCCAGTGCCGGGCGAACGTCGTTTTCGACGGGCGCCAGCGTTACTTGGGCCTCGACCTTCAGACCGGGGAGTTGCCGACAGACCCGCAGGTGCTGAGCGCCATCTTCGAGCAGAGCACGTGCGCCTTTGCAGCTAACGGCGCGGACGCCGAGGCGACGCCGTTGCGCGCGGGCGCAACCGCTGCCAGCGACCTCCAGCACCAACGTCGCGACGACATCATTGCAGACCTTGTCAAACGACGCCAGGGCGCGCCCGCCGCAGACGCCATCTCCCGACGAGCGATCAGCAAAAACACCCAGCATAACATTCGACGGCAAACGCGCAGCAACCGGAATGGGCCGTTTAGAGTGCATTCTGGGGCAGTTCAAGGGCCCGAAGCACATCAGCTCCGTCAAAACCCGGAGAGAGAAGACGCTCGTTCCTGACATGGCGGGGGGGGGCGGTGTCAAGCAGAGAACCAGACAAGGGATCGCGGACACATGCGCAGCTTTTACGCCGAATGGCGCGCCTCTTCCATTGCGGGGGATCGACCAGCAGACGCGACATGTGCACCGCAGCAGATCTCACCCTTCACAGAAGAAGAGCTCACATCAGCAATATTACAACTCAAGGGCGGCAGCGCGCGCGACGCGAACGGCATTCAGGTTGAAATTCTCCCGCAAACAGGCCGAGAACTTCAACGCCCTCTATTGCAATTGTACAACTCAGTCGTCAAGGTAGACGCTCCTGCGCCAGCCAGCCGGGGAAGACCGTAAGCATAGTAATTCCTAAGTCGGGAGACTTTGCACCTCCCCAGAGTTATCGCCCGATCTGCGCCGTGCCAATGCTATGCGAGCTCGTCGGCAGACAACTGCAAAACAGACTGCAACCGCCCTTAGACCGACCGCAACCTGACGA